AAAACCCGTTTCTTTGCCACTGTCTTATCCCCACTGCCTTTTCCTTTTCCCCTGAGCAACCAGGTTTCTGCCTCAGTTTCTTTCCTGGCTGTCTCCTCCTTTCCACCAGGCTTTTTTTTTTTCTTTCCTTTGTGACCTCGAGTAACCCTGGAGCCACTTGATCTTCAGTAAACTGAAGCCTCAGTTCCTCAGCCAGCTTCTCTCTTGTCCAACGGTTCTAATCCTGGTTCTGGCAACTTTCACTCCCTACACTTTAACTCTCTTTCTCTCACCTTAACCTTCCCCCAAGTATCCCAGGTACCCCAAGCACACACACACATACCATACCATCCAAGTTAGGAACTTACCAGGGTGTGTGTGTGTGTGTGTATAATGTCATTGTGTTCATGATATACGAATTAGTTATCTGTGTATGTGCAGTGAGTGTGTGAGTACGGACAATTGAGTTTTGTCTAACTTTTGGGGTATATATTGTATGTGCTTGAATTGGTGATAGGTATGCATGTGCCTAGGCTGGTTTGGATGTGTATGTGCCTGAGCTGGTAGTGTGTGTGTGTGTATGTACCTAATTGATTTGTGTGTTTGTATATGTGCAATTGTGTCATACCCTCCTGTCTAACAGCGCAATATTGAGATCCTGAAGGTTGGCCTGACCCCACAGGGCAAAATTAGGGTGGGACTATGTATAAATAATACTAAGGTCACATATTCAGCTGATGTAAATAAGCACAGCTGATATACATTGGCATATATCCAAAAATTATATTGGTGTAATACAGCTGAGAATCTTGCCCTACATATTTTTATATTTATTGATATTTAGGTTTTAGAAGGATTTGGAGGGGTCTGTGTATGGAATAGATAGTATGATAATAATTAAATTTACTGACCATTGAACACAATACCCCTTGATAACTATACCCATTTAAAAAAGGTGTTGGTTGATGTCAACCTTTTTTGTGGATAAACCAGATATATGACCACATGTAAGTAGATCAGGATTCTTTACAGCAGTAAAAAAAGATGGCATGAGGAAATAGACCAGACCAAACTAGATAAATACAAAAGACATGATTGATTAGAGGGGTAATCATGTGTGTCAATAGCTTTCCTTTCAGAGCAGAGACAAATGAGCTTTTCCCTATGTATTGTT